TTCTTGCTGATTTGCACCCCAGAGCTCTTGAATCCTGTCCCCTTAGATATCAGTAAGTCACTTACCTGAGTGCATGCAAATCCAGACTGAAGAAGTATGCATGAAGCTCAATGACTAAAGAGTTAAGAGGCAATAAAGCTCCTTGCTCCTGATGGGTCATCTCAGATAAGAGTTAAGTATGTATGACATGAGCTGCACAGAGCAGAGGCAGTGTCAGCCTGGAGAGCAGTCAAATATCCCTCAGGAGATGTCTAAAACCCTGAAAATGCTGTTTTAAATTGTCACATCAGAGCCTGATTTGATACCTTTCATATGTTTGTGCAGGTTTTTGGTTTTATATACTTTTTGTGAAAAAATTTGAGAACACACCTGGATTTCATGCTTATTCAAATCTTTATAGTTACATTTTCTCAAGGGTATGTGTGAATATGGAAGATGTTATATACGGGTTACTTGCTACACATTAATTCTAATTGCTTTTATTGCCTAATTAGATTTTTAAGTACAAAAAAATAAATTGAACTGCATTTTTCAGAAAAAGAAGCCCTGGAACACACACTCCTTCGCTGATGTATATGGATTATGGGTTTTACAGATTTACGATGCTTTTCTTTTTTTCTGAGTAAATCTACTGCACAAGCAATAAATTAATCTAAACAACACTGGGGAACTCCTTTCAGCCTTGCAGCTGGAGGTGCATGAAAAGATTTGTATTCGTCCGATTGCGTGAAGTGTAATTGAACTCCAAGATAATGCTTGATCGGTATCAGATACTTTTACTTTATTCTGCTGAAGCTCACTTTTCTTTTGACTTGTTCAAGTTAATTAGGGTGATGAAACACTTCAGAAGCCCATTATTTCGTCAGTGTATTAAAAGTCCCCATTCCCATTTTGGAAAAGATTCTCCTTTTTTTTAAATAGAAAGGTAACGTGACCACAGGATCAATGTAAAAACCCATTACATCAGCTTTTTTGTTTGCTAAATTGCAGAACGATGCCCTTTATTATTGTTTTGACAGCAGTGAGGAAGTTTGCTGAAATCTATCAATATTTTCCCAATTTGAAGGAAATAGGGTACATAGACATCACTGGCTGATAGGAATTGAAGAGTGCCAGTTGTGTTAACAGTCTTAACTGCTTTAAATCTGTAAATTAGTTTTACGCTAAGTCTAACTAAGTTGTAGTGCAAAGAAAAATCTAACAAATGCTTCTATGACTGTTTTGTTTTTTGGGATATATTTATTGAGGTTGATGTTTTTTAATTATTCCTTGAGCCTGTGTAACGTTATGTAATTCCAAGCTTTCTTCTCCGAAGCCACCTTGTTGTACCTCTCATGTGCCCCAATGTGTTAGAAATATGGTTTGACATGTAACAAGTGCAACAAGGACAGTCACACTTGATCATAACATAAACTATGTAATTAAGAGACAATATCATGATTAAAAAGACCTTCTTTGGTTCCACACCTATAGTATACATTTGCATTAAAACATTTAAACATAGTTACAGCCCTTAACTATAGTGGATGGGTGGCTTTTTTCTTTTACCATTCATTTTCCGAAGGCTCTGAGTCGGAGCTCCCTGGATTAGCACAGGGAGATGTGCAACGAAGCGTCCAGCTCTCTTCAGCTTCCATGACAAAGGCAAAGAAATGAGTCTTCAGGACCGTGATGACGATGCTGAAAGAAAAACGAAAAAAAAAGAACAAAAGAAGAGGAAGACTCAGCAAAAACAGATGTCGGGTGTAAGGTTTCAGACAGGCCTCCACAAACCTGCTTGAGGTCCAACGCCCAGCACACAGGGGGGTGCAATATGAACCATCTAAACAAATCTATTTCTTCCGTCTCCTGCTCTGTGTGGCCTCTAGTCCCAACATCATGTCCGGGGGGGTGTCCAGTTTCGTCTGACCTGGATGTGTTTTGGAGATGGGAGAAATCCCTCACAAACACGGTCAGAAGATGTTACTACCTAAGAAAGTAAAGTACCAGATCTCAACACAACCCCCCACAGTAAAATGTAACATTTAACATTTAGTATGTGGAGGGCCGCTTCTTTTTACTGCCCTCAAGCTAGAGGCAAACAAATTTGCATGCAATTTTCTGGTATCTTGGACCAGATAAATGAGGGATGTTTTAAGCATCTTAACAAGACTTCATGCAAACAATCCGATATATATATATATTTTTGGTACAGTATGTTGTATCTCCAACAGTTTTCAAAACTGCGGAAACGGCGGATTAACCACGTAGTTCTTTTTTACTTTCTCCAGTCGTATTTCACTAATCCGCTAGTGCCTGCTGTCAAAGAAGCTGCGGTGTCAATTGGTAGGCTTCAATCTTTCTCAAACATACCGACTTGCAATTGTATCTGTCTGTCTTAATGACCATCTTCACATTTTAAAGCACACATTGCAAATGTCTGGTCTGTAAGCAGGATAATTACTCGATAACCGGACGCCCTGTCTCCAGCTGAAACGTTTCTCCTTGTCTGACAGTGCAGGTGAGAGACCTGCGGTTGTATTTCCCACTCGTTTTCCTTGAGAGCTATCAAACTGATTTTTCCTTGTGTCGCAGACAATTTAGTTAAATTAAACAAAGAGATCCTCTTAATTAAGTTACAATGTCCTTTCCGTTTAAGTGCGTTTACGTTTTAGATTGCAGCCCTGTCACTGAACACGAAACATACTGCAGTGGAAAATGTAAAGCTCTTTAATAATGAGTCTGACCGGGGTGGAATAACCGTGTTTTATAAATTACTACTAAATTTAAAAAACACTTCTAAATTTATTTGCACTACTAAAGCAAGCGGCCCGCATTGATTCTGAATCCCGCCCTAGATACAGACCGTGAAAACATGTTGAACACATCTGTATCATTACAACGATAAATTATTTAGAACTTTAATGCCTACAAAAAACTGGATGTCTCGTTGTTATTCCTTTTTTTCCTTGATTCCACACAGCCATGGAGTGGGTGACAGTACAGATACAATATGCACTATTTATGCATCACACGAACACTGTTTTACAGTAAGCGTATCGGTGAATCGGAAGTAAACGCACCACACAGTGGTAAATGTCTGAAAATCATGGGGACTGGATAATAACTCGCAGCACGAAAACTATGGTCACCACATTTCAGATAATCAGATATGAAGGACGGAGCTTTTAATAAACGGTCTCTTTCGTATTGAGAATTTTTAGATGGCATTTTAACGTTGTTTTTTCCCCCAAAACTTTCTGGCATAAACTGTAAAGGGCAAACGCGATCTTCAAACTTAACCGAATATCATTCGCAAAAAAAGGAAAGGAAAAAAAAAAACTTTTTTTTTTTTGCTCTCTTTGTTTTAATCTGGCAGCAGCAGGCGATAGGTTCCGAGATCCCGGGTTCGATTCCAGCCCGAGCGGGTTCTGTGTGAAGTCTGTATGTTCTGTTGGGGTCCGGATGGTCCTCATCCTCTAGCCCTCAAAACACCCGCTGGCAAGATGAATCGGTGTCTCTTAATTAATTGTCTATGGGTCTGTGCCGTGGTCTGGTGTCCAGTCCAGCGTGTGGCCCCGCTTGTGCACCGCTGTCTGTCCTGATAGACTCTGTCCCAGCGATGAGCAGCTTTCTGATGGAAAATGTTGAGAGCATTTGTGAAAATCATACAGAAACAACACATTTATCATAAATATAATTCCCTTTCACGTCGCTAAGTTTACTCTCTTTCATCCAGGTGGGGCTGGACACTGGTGCTGGTGGGGAAGAGACCCCATTACCTGTGCAGCGCTCTGAGTGGACTGTCCAGAAAAGCGCTATATACTGTGTAAGTGTAAGAATTTTTTAAATTGTTATTTCACATCTTATCGTTTGCAATCCATACCCTATTTTGCGTATGGAGTTATTGATGATTGCTGTTTTAGTAACGAACAACACACTGCAGCAAAACAAAGCAATTTCCCGGAAATGTTGTACAGGAGTTATACTGTTAATCGTTAAGGCATTCAAACGCCTCTTTTTTTTGGGCAGTTTGATAAAATCGATTAGTTTGAGCTCGGGGGCGAGGTGCATTCCTTTTAAAGATACACTTGCCCTTTTAACGTAATGCACTGTAGGTCCGTTATGTTTCTGTGTACGGAGGCATCACAGGTCATTTTTCACCAGCCAGAGTAAACTTGACCTCCGACCCCTCGGACTTTCGTGGACCGATTCATACGGGGTTTTCAGCACCTACAGTATACCGTATGTACTCCTCCGTACCGGAGTACTCTCTCTCTCCTCTCGTTTCGGTCAAGCTGCCAATTAGTCCGTTGGATCCACAGCCCGGTACTGTAATGCAAACTGAGACGTGTTTTTTTTTAAATTCTCATTCTGCAGTATGAGTAAAACTAGCACGACCATGGCTATTTAATAACATTCTGACCGCTGTTGTCTACTGTACGTCACATGTACTGTATGACTATCCTGAGCTTTGAAGCTGGTTTTGTTACTGGTAGGATTCAAACTTAAAAAAAAAAACTTTCACAATATACAGTACAGAGAGGCAGAACGTGTAAATGTCTGGCGCTTGGTATCTTAACCTTTTGTTTTTACAAACAAACAAACGAACAAACAAACAAACAAACAAACAAAAAAGGTATCTAAAGAAGCAGCTGGCCCGCCCAGAAATGCTGTATGAAAAGGTAAAATTAGCGGTTCAAGGTGAATTCTAACATCTATTATAATCCAATGGCTGGCCCTGTGTACAGTAAGTACCGAAGAGGCTTGCGTTCGGTAGTTTCATTGTCGTGAGTCCACGGAGCAGTCAGAAAAGCGTGAATTATAGGTGCCTCGGTGACACACCGATGGGCATTAGTTCTGCACGTGTGAGAGGGACACCCCTCCGCGTTCTTCCCAGCCACTCGCTAGGACCCGGGAGAAATCCCTGCTTTCTGTTCTCCGACTCGAGTCCCCGGAGGATAGTGTTTGGCGGAATGTACCAAATGGTGGAAAAGGGGGGGACGGGGGGGGGGGGAGCCAAGAGGACGCGGCTGCTGGCAACTTCAGCACCTGGACAGCGACCTTCGCGTCTCTGACAGCCTTTCAAACGCTGTCCGAAATTATGTGATAATCGCCGACGTCCCGATCCGCGGCGGAGCTATGAGGCTGGAGGGGTCCTTCTGAGCAGCCTGGCGTTAATTTGTCGACGGGGGCTCGAGTGCTGCGGGCTAATAAATGAGAAGCGGCAGTGTTGTGTATTGCTGGTGAGAAGCACAGGTTAGACCGCAGAGGCAGCATCGTCCTCTTTATTTATCGCAAATAAAACAGACCGAGGTGGGACTGTCTGTAGCTTGGGCTGCCCGTGTGCGGGGAAACGTTGGTGCAAGGAAAGGAGGCGAGGAGAATAAAAGCAGTATCCTGTGCTTGTTTTTTAACTGCAGTGGAGAACTGAAGATGCTGCAGCTTCCTGGACCAGGGATAACGCTATTGCTCTGTTTTTTCAGCCGCATCAGCAGCTTCAATGCAGCTCTCCCGGCATCCCGTAAGTATCACAGGAGACTGTGCTTCAGTGCTTGAGTACTTAGCACTCCTTTGCAGAGACAGGGCAATGCAGAAAACTGGCACGCCGGGAACATGTGAAGCTCAGCAGGTCGCTCAGCAGATTCTGGAAATGGCTTTTAATATCTTGAAATCTGAATCCGGCCAAGGGTACCGGGAGCATTTGTGAAGAGCTGTGGCATAGCCCCTCTGCGACCGCTAATAAAAGCAAAGTTTTACTAGTTCAGAACGAAATGTGCCACAGTATTTTACACCGAACAGTGCGATGTGTTGCCTCTTGAGGAATGAGATTTATAATGCACCAGTCAAGAGGCTGTTTGGGATTGTCTATGGAGTGAAATTTGTGTGCTGGGATGCTTACTTTATCTGCCGGGCTTAAACTGAGATTTTATTTACATTGTATTTATAGAAAAGTGATCATGTCTTCTCTGGATTTGAATACAGGCTTAATAAGTGCTTCCCGATTAATTACGTTGAATAAATTAAAATATGGAAAGGTTTTTAAGTGTTGGTATACTGTTCATTTCCATTCTAAAGCAGAAATAGCTTCCGTAAAGGAAAATGAGTTTCAGTGTTTTTTCTTTCTCGTTTTCTTGCGTTGAAGTAGAAGGGATTTAAGCAGTTACTGTATACTGTATTTCCACGTACAATGGGAGAGGCGCAGATGGTCGCTAGAGGTGAAGATAATATTCCCATAAAAAGTTACAGTTTAACTTCTTGAAGAATAGGAAGTGTATTTGAACGTGCTGGAATTTATGTGATATTTATTACCTGGAGGTACTGTATACCAAAGCAGTCTTCTCGGTGTCTGGGCATTTAGATGTTATTTGATGGAATTGTGTCTGTGAAACCCGATGAAAAATAGCCACGGATAAAATACTATACAGTACTCTCCTTATACAGTACACATACTGTATACTACAAACCGCGATTCTATCCAAGAAGTTTCGGGTTTCTGAAGGTTGAGATCAAATGAAAGCGAAAAAGTTGCAGAAAGGCAGCGCGTCCGCTTTATCTTGAGCGTCCTATAATTTTCTGTCCAAGCGCAGCACATTATGAGATACATGTGCGAATTCATCGCATCACATTCATTTTAATGTTCACTGGAATGGACTCGGGTACAGCACGCAAGGGCTTTTAAAGTTTCCAGATGTTTTAAACTGCAAGAACTACTGTGTGGTATAGTCGAGTGATCGTTTATAATCGACAGACACGTATTTAAAAAAAATATTTCCTATATATATACTGTATATCACCTATCATATACAGTATAGTGAAGTTGGTACCTGGCTTCAGTATGGATAATCGTTATATCCAAAGTGTGCTACATATTTTTTTATTAACAGGATCTCCTGGTAGATCACTAGGACACGTTGTATAACTGCTGAACAATCTGAACTCTAAAAGTACCACTTTGCAGAGTTTACAATGCATTAACCGTGACACTTAATTTGATAATGCAATGTTGATACATTTGCTTTTTTGTTAAGCAAAGCGTTAATGCGAGTCTTTCGCTCTCTAATGCCTATAAAAGGTATCAGCTTTTATGAAAAGCGGACGGGCTGAGTGCCGAAAACAGCAAGGTTAACATTGCAGTTAAAAAGGACTATACACTGGTAGTTGATTGACTACGGATTTATATTAATAATGGACAAACATGCATTGAGTCCTTTTTTGATAGAGCAACCGAGAACATCTCGATGTGTGTACTGGTAACTTGGTGCAACTATAGATAATTATAGATAGTGAATATCTGGTGTCTATAAAGGTTTCAGAGAGGGAATAAAGAAAAGCCTTCTGAAAAAAAAACGCGTCCACGAAGCACGGATTTCACGACAGGGCGCGGGAAAAGACCCTTTGTGAATCGTTCTTTTTCTGCGGCGGGGACGGAGACAATGTCTCTGCGCTCAGCCCTCAGTCCTACCGCTCTGCAGCAGGTCCAGCTGGATCCGCGGATGCTGAATTTGCAGAGTGTTCCCAGGTTAATAGCAAAATCTTTGGGTATTGAGGCGGGTAACTGGTATGGTCAAAGCACGATTACCACGGGTACTTAGTGCTTTTTTAACAGACTACAAAATTAATGGGCAACTAGAGTATGAAACAAAACTCGGTATTTTTTAGAAGACCAACAACTAATAGATGGAATTTCAGAATAATTTCCATGGAGTGGCGAGCGGACGCACCGATAATTGTGATCCCTTCTTGATGACAAGAAACGTCATTAAATGACAGGACCCCTCCTCCTGCGGCCGTTCAGTTTCCATTTATTTAGCTTAACTTCCAGCTTTCATCGCAGAAACCATCAGTTGTGATTTATGCAAGATGGGTGTTGTCTGATATTGTACAGTATAAGCAATGATAACTTTTGTTGCTCAGGTTTTTAAGACACACTTGAAGAGAAGAATCTTTAGCGAAGCACATGTTTAATGATCAACTTTAAATAAGTGAAACTGGCGTTATTCCCAGAAACGCGGAAGCTTATAGTATAATAATGGTGAAACTGAGCCCACACATTGTCTGTGTGGGGCTCACTAAAATCACGTCTAAAGAGTTATGTTGCTGTACATTTGCCGATACTATACAACATCAGATGTGAAACATACTCAGTTATTTCTAAATGTTATTTCCTCAATTACTGTGGTGCACTTTAGAACGATAACGTTTCAAAATCTTTCTTAAAAGTCTCACTGAACTGGCGTGCTCTGTCTGTGACCTGTATATTATGAACTCCTATAACATACTGTACAGTACAGACCGGTAAAGCGCTTTATAGCAAACTGTTGCAAAGAGCGAAATAACATGATTTCTAGGTATTTCTTCCATATTACAACAACAGTACAATATGTCCCACCAGGAGGAGAGCTAACAGAACTTTTGTTTCCCATAAAGAGAAGTTTTAGTCCAAATGTATAGCTTGGATAATAAAGAGAAGTTTTAGTCAAATTGTACAGCTTGGATAATAAAGAGAAGTTTTAGTCCAATTGTACAGCTTGCATAATATCCCAAGCCTGTAAAGCAGATAAACAGCCAGTCCTACTGTATATTTGCAAAGGATCTGGTTACCTGTCCAAAAACACCACATGCATTTCAGCACTGTTGGTACTCATGCACTGTCAGAGGCAGCACCCTGTAGATGTATCTCAACAGATCTCAGCAATGAAGCAAGTCTGTTTCTGCTGTAAGAGGTGTTGGTAGACAAATAGGCTGAACTTTTTGCCTTCTCTTGCTACGCTACAGAGCTCTGGAATTCTTTCCCCTAGGATTTCAGAGGGTTTTTCAGGGAGCGCTTTCCAATCCAGACTCTAAACCTTCAGCAGAAGGGCTTTAATTTCATTACTGTCTGTGTCTGTTCTTTGCATCTTCAACTGCATTCCAAAGCCTTGTTTTTTGTTGTGTTCTTGACAGTCCTAGGAGACCAACAGTTCGATTTTCCCTGTGTGAAAGGCAGGCAGATGTTTATGAAATATGGTCCAACTTTTCTCACTCATATCACTCTTTAAAAAAAATATTCAAAAGAAGGCTTATATAATAATGATTAAGATTTGTTTCATAATAGTTGCACATTTGCTCTTCCTCCATGTCTTGTGAGATCAGTGAAATTAGTTTTCTACAGATTTTTAGCATATTTTCATTGTTTCAAGTATTCTCACTCTGGGCTTTTTGTTGTCAAAGTTAAGCAGATGCAGTTTTGGATTGTGTGGAGATTCCTAAAAGATCCACATGGAAATATGTAAATGTATTATACAGGTACTGTATATACTGTAAGGAAACATGTTGGATCACAGTGCATGCTTGGCATTTAAAAAAACCCAAATACCTAATAATTTCAGCATGTTAGATGTACAGTATGTAATGTCATGTCATGTACCAAAATCGCTTTATACCATATAGGTTAGATATATGTATATATTACAATTAAAAATGATGTACTGTAAGGGGTTCCCAAAATGAAAAGCCAGTTGTCTATTTTCAACACATTGCACAAGGCTTATATTGCAGTTTTCATCTACTCTGTATAAATCCTCAGGACTGAACTGATGCCTTGGTTGGGTCTGCTGTTGTTATTCACATTACAGTTCCCTTCTATCAGCATAGTATTCTACATTTTAGAGGCATGTTACAATGTTTCATCTCAAAGAAACACTCGTTTACATTGTATTTAATAGCATTACTGTACATTTCCCCTGGGGTTCTTGCAAGTGCATGTGGGAAATAAAAGTTATATTTGTTATAACTTGAGTATGATACCACTTATTAAGGAGGTATTAATGAGATTGCTTATGGGTGCTGAAGTTCCATCCAGCTTTATTTGACTTGCAAACACCTATGATTGTTACCTGTGTCTGTGGATCATGTGTAAGTGTTTTTTTTCGTTCTGACAATTAAGCAATTACACTAGCTTATGGACTCTGTGCAACTATACCCTTGACTTAATTTTAGTAGCCTAGTCAATTGCACTGCATATCTGTTGAACAATACATGAGCTCCTTGTTAAATTCCATGTCTTTATAGATATTATGTCCTCACCAGTTTGTGAGTAAATAAGAGGATGGCATGCATTGCAGTTAGCGCGGTAGCCTCACAGCTCTGGCTGTGCATTCCCTTACTGATTGGTGCACTCTGTGAGGAGCTGGCATCTTCTCCATACTGTATGTCTCTGGGGCTCCATTTTCCTCCCATAGTCCGGAGGCAGAGGGTTTTTAGGTTAATGGGTATCTCCAAAACTGTCTGCCGCGTGTGTATTGCAATGGACTGGTGCTCTGTCCGCAGAGTCAGCTGGGTTAGGCTGTGGCTTGCTGGAGTCCTGCACTGGAGGGAGTGGCTACTGAAAACGGACAGAAGGGACTCTATAATTGTGGTGTTACTTGAGCTGCTGTATTCACCTGTAGGTCCGCTTTGTTATGTCACTGTCTGCTTGGTGACTTCTTTTAGCAAAAATGTTTAGATATCTTTTTACTTCAGAAATGTAATGTAAGACTAACC